TGTAAGCCACTTCGTGTTCTTCGTGTTCCCAGAACATCATTCCTGTACCATATTTTGAATGCCCGGAGCCAACTGTAGGCCACTTCGTGATCTTCGTGTTCCCAGAACACCAGTCCTGTGCCATATTTCAAATGCCCGAGCTGAGGCAGGCTGAGGCCGAGGCAGGCTGAGGCCGAGGCAGGCTGAGGCTGAGGCTGAGGCACGCCGGAGCAGGCTGAGGCTGAGGCAGGCTGAGGCTGAGTCTGACGCAGGCTGAGGCCGAGGCAGGCTGAGGCTGAGGCTGAGGCTGAGGCTGAGGCTGGGGCTGAAGCTGATGCAGGCTGATGCAGGCTGAGGCTGAGAGGCCGACGCTGAGGCTGAGGCAGGCTGAGGCTGAGGCTGAGGCTGAGGCAGGCTCAGGCTGAGGCTGAGGCAAGCCGAGGCAGGCTGAGGCTGAGGCTGAAGCTGAGGCAGGCTGAGGCTGAGGCTGGGGCTGTGGCTGAGGCTGAGGCAAGCTGAGGCTGAGGCTGAGGCCGAGGCCGAGGCTGAGGCTGAGGCTGATGCAGGCTGAGGCTGAGGCAGGCTGAGGCTGAGGCAGGCTGAGGCTGAGGCTGAGGCAGGCTGAGGCAGGCTGAGGCTGAGGCCGAGACAACCGAGGCAGGCTGAGGCTGAGGCTGAGGCTGATGCTGAGGCAGGCTGAGGCTGAGGCTGAAGCTGAGGCAGGCTGAGGCTGAGAGACGCCGAGGCAGGCTGAGGCTGAGGCAGGCTTAGGCCGAGGCAGGCTGGCTGAGGCAAGCCGAGGCAGGCTGAGGCTGAGGCTGAGGCTGAGGCTGAGGCTGAGGCTGAGGCAGGCTGAGGCTGAGGCTGACGCAGGCTGAGGCCGAGGCAGGCTGAGGCTGAGGCTGAGGCAGGCTGAGGCTGAGGCTGAGGCATGCCGAGGCAGGCTGAGGCTGAGGCTGAAGCTGAGGCAGGCTGAGGCTGAGGCAGGCTGAGGCAGTGACTGAGGCTGAAGCAAGCTGCGGCTGAGGCAGGCTGAGGCTGAGGCAGGCTGAGGCTGAGGCTGAGGCAGGCGGAGGCTGAGGCTGAGGCTGATGCAGGCTGAGGCTGAGAGGCTGACGCTGAGGCAGGCCGAGGCTGAGGCCGAGGCAGGCTGAGGCTGAGGCTGAGGCGAGCCGAGGCAGGCTGAGGCTGAGGCTGAAGCTGAGGCAGGCTGAGGCTGAGGCTGAGGCTGTGGCTGAGGCTGAAGGCCGAGGCAGGCTCACGCTGAGGCTGAGGCAGGCTGAGGCAGGCCGAGGCTGAGGCTGAGGCTGAGGCTGAGGCTGAGGCAGGCTGAGGCTGAGGCTGAGGCTGACGCAGGCTGAGGCCGAGGCAGGCTGAGGCTGAGGCTGAGGCAGGCTGAGGCTGAGGCCGAGGCAAGCTGAAGCTGAGGCTGAGGCAAGCCGGGGCAGGCGGGGGCTGAGGCTGAAACTGAGGCAGGCTGAGGTATCCGTATGAATCCATAGGAATCCTGAGGAATCCATAGGAATCCTTAGGATTCCGTAGGCATCCTTAGGAAACCGTAGGCAGAGTTAAGCATCCTCAGGGATCTCTAGGAATCCTTCGGATTCTCTGGGAATCCTTAGGATTCCCTAGGAATCCCTCGGAATCAGGATTCCTGAGGATTCCTAAGGTTTCCTGAGGATTCCTATGGATTCCTAAGGATGCCTATGGATGCCTTAGGAATCCCTAGGAATCCTTAGGATTCCATTGGATCCTAAGGCCGTTGCCACTGCGACTGTCATTGCGAATGCGGCTGCGACTGCGAGAACAGCAGAATTCTACAACTGGATTCTCACCTGAATCTTAAGGGGAATGCCTCCATATATGCTTATACACATAGCTGTTAGGTTGCTTTGCCGGGATACTTACATATCCAACATCTTGCATCTGTACAGATGTCTACATGTATGTATGTATCGTGATACTCTCGTGCCTTTCTCATACAGCTATGCCGTCTCTATGTATGTATATTTACATGTACATGTATATCCCATGTCTGTCTAGTCTCTCCCCACCGCTGTCTCATCCCTGTTTCATCTCTTCATGTTTTGTTGTTGTTTTTTTGTGTTCTCTCTCTCTCTCTCTCTCTCTTTCATCTCTTATACATACGTATGTCATCGCTCTCCCAGTCCTCTCCCTCATATATCACTGATTTCCTCCTCATTATCTTTTGTTTCTTCTCTCTCTCTCTCTCGCTCGCCAATGCACTTGCATGAATTTAATCGCCAAAGATTTGCATGACCTGTTGTAACCGCGCCACCGGCCAATATTGAAGCACTGCCGCACTAGAGTGCTTTTGATTGGCCCGCGGCACCCCGCGCTCCCTGCGGACGGGACGTCGCCGTGGATGTACATGACAAGGTTACTGCCATCACCCTCTTGTGGCGGCGCGCAGAGGGGGGGGGTGGGGGGAGAGGGGAAGGCTTCTCAGAAGGAGGCTGCTGCTTAGAAACTGTACATCCATAGACAAGGCCCGCGCCTT